TGTCCACGCGAAGACGTCAGCGTTTTTTCCAGAGAAATTTAGTCAGCTCGGCTTTTAGCGGCCTCGACAGCTTGCTTCCGATCCGGAGTTTCTTCTGACAAGTCTCCTCGTTGATGAAGATGATTTCAACTTCGTCCATAGGCTCAGCCCTCTTTGTCCCCCGTTCTTCTTCGTAGTGGGTCTGGGGGTCGAGCTCGTCTTCTTCTGTGACCGGCTCTTTGCCGGCCCTTCTCCCTCTGTTTAGGTCCAGGTTGGCCCTTGGCTCTTCTTCTGCTGGGCCGGTGTTACCGCCACCCGAGGGGAGCGAACCTGTCTGGTTTTTCAGTATGCGGTTGTTTCCCTGGCCAAGATGGACCGGTTTGACACTTGCGTTAGGAGTGTTTTGGTTGCTGGCCGTCTCCATCTCCGCCTCGGATCCCGCGTCGATTGAGTCGACACATAACGCAGTCTGGGGGTGTGAACCTGTCTGGTGTTACAGTATGCGGTTGCCCCTCGGACCATCACGTATCGGCTCCGAGTCAAGTGCCAGCTCGGCATTCACCGTCTCGGCGTCGGGGATGGGGTCTGCTGCGTTTATCTCTGCTCGCGGGATGGTCAAGACGCACTCCCCCGCCCCTCCCTCTGATCTCTGCGGTGGGTCCCTTCCCCATCCGAGGTCGGGAATTTCAGAGAATAGTAGAATACGGAGACAGCGGCCTTTAGCTTGTATAGGGCCGTCCTGCCCAGGATGGCGTTGTACTCGCTCGGGCAGTTCACGATCTTAAAGGTTTCCAGAATCGTCTTCGTGGGCTGCCCCTTCTCTTCAAACCGGATCGGCAACACGACTTGGCTAACGGGTGCTGTCGTTTTCCCGTTGAAACCCTGAATCCATTCGCAACAGGGTTGCACCTCTTTCGCGTCGATCCCTATCTTCTTGAAGGTACTATAGTAAAGAATGCTCGCGTAGGCCCCGGTGTCGACCATGATGCGGTGGATCTTTATCGCCACTATCGGCGTTGTGATCACCAGGGCGTCGGAGTGGGGATGGTCGAATAAAAAGGCGTCCTCATCAGTGAAGGAGATTTTGTTTGGGGTCGGCTTTGGTGCCGGCCTGCTGTCGGCGTGCATCACTCTCTGCCTGGCGTAATAGGCTTGCCAGGCGTAGGCCTTGGTCTGCCTCCTGGAAAGAAAGGATTCGCCTCGGCTCATGTTGACGCGCTGGGGTAAGTAGTCTTTGTGGTCGTCCCTTGGAGGCGGGGACCGATCTCTCTTCATGCCTCTAGAGGCGCCGGCCTCGTTTTGGTGGGCGGGGCAGAGAGTCATGATCTCATGGGGGCCGCCCTGCTGCGACTTCTTCCTCCGGGGTTCACGTCGGTATCATCATCGCTGTCGAGGCCTTCCTCAAAAAGGCCTCCCTTCTTTCTCTTCTCTCCGGAGTGAGTGAACCTCTTTAACTGTGGGTCGTCAATCAATTTGAGCAATGCCGAGATCAAATTCCAGCACTGGTCGGTGTTGTGCCCGTGTGCCTTGTGATAGGTGCAGTAACGAGACTTGTCAACTTTATCCTTGTCGGTGAATATCGGCTTTGGGCTCGGACCTCAGAAAACGACTTGCTCGGCTTCCCTGACTTTTCCTTCTTAGCCTTGCCTTTTGTCGGCGCAGCGTCGAATGTTGGGATTGATGAGGATTCCTCCACCATGATGTAATCTTGGGCTCGGGAGAGAAACTCTTGGTAAATGGTCGGTTTGTTTTGACATAGGGAGCACTTGAACAGTGTCTTCAGCTTCAGACCGCCCTGAGCAGTGATCAGTAGCGCGTCAGGGTGGCATCGCTCCATGTTTTGGACTCGGTCGTTAAACGGAGTGATATAGTCCTTCAAGCTCTCGTTCTCACCCTGAACGAAGTTGGCGATGGATTCCTTGGAGGCGAGGTTGACCTGCGATCCAATGAAATGTGATCGGAACGCCGACCTGAGCTGCCCCCAGGTAGAGATGGATTGAGGGTAGAGAGAGTGATACCACCTCTAGGCCTTTGGCCCAAGCGTAAGAGAGAACATGCGGCAGCGTAGGGCATCTGAGGCGCCGTGCAAGTCCATCCATGAGTTGTAGAGGCTGATGTGGGAATCATGGTCTGAGCTCTCATCGCAAAGTCCGAGCTGCGGAACTTTGATTTTCTTTGGCGCGGGTTCCCGCAAGATGTCAAGAGAGAGGGGTGAAGCGTGGTCTACGATCCGAGGGGTCGATTGTGGATGGGAAGGAAGCGATAGTTCACTCCTAGAGGGATGCCGACCCTCCAGCTCGGCAATCCTACGCTTGAGGGCCGCGACTTCGTCAGTATCGCATCCTACAGCTTTACCCCGCTCGATGACCTCTCTGAGATCACGGTTGGCCTGACTCTTGTCGCCCAGGCGTTGGTAAACGGAACGGCGAATGATTTTAAGGCTTTGCTCCAGATGGCTCTCACCCGTCTGCTCGGTGGGCGTCGGTCTGGTGCTTTTGTCACGGCGGTTCCGGGCATCAAGGTTGGGTGATTGAGCCATGGTTTTGGATTTCGTTGGGTTCTTCTTTTGCCCCCCGGCCCTCTTGTCGGGGGTCTGTAGCAGGGTGTTGCCGGGGTTTTCCGTGTGTGCTAAGGTGTTGCCCCCGGCCGCCTGGCTCGCGAGCGCCTTCGAAAAGACCCTCTTGAGAGCATTGAGGACGTCAGGGTGCTGCATGGCAGTAGAAAAGGTCGGGACTGGTGGAGCAGGGACTTGTGTTCCCTGCTGAGCGCGGCGGGAGGTCTCTCCGCCGTTGCACCGGCGAGACTGGGCTCCGGACTGCTGAGTTGACTGGTCATGACCAGATGAAGTGTGTTGACATCCGAGTTCGCCTCCAAAGGGAACCGGACTAAAGGCCACTCCAAAAGCTGAACCGGAAAGCCGGTTCGGTGTGCAAGTGTCGAGCTGAATTTCAGATTTAATTGACTATGACATCTCCGCGGGTTCCTTCCCGAGCCCAGTATCTGTGTCGTTCAAACACCGGTGCCGACCTCGAATAGGTGACGGGCTGAAGGAAGGCCGGAGGGCCAGAAGAGTAGGATGAGTTTAGGAGCCGACCTAAAGCTTCAGAGCAGTTGCCCCAAAGGCCGGCGCCGTGTCCGATTGTAATATAATAATGCCACTTAGAGAGTAATCATTGGCGATTGGACAGGGCGTCGTAGCCTGCGGGTCTACGCCCACTAGCCAATACATAAAGCCTGCCTGCATTAGATGACCTCCATGTGAGCATTAAATATCTGACAGACAATGATTAGAAAAACCTCAAATCGCATTGAATATCTGTTAGGGAGACGCCGGATTGCTCTGCAAGAACACTGTACGACAAGACCGGTGAACAGTACCTGAACAGTGCCACATTTGAGAGCACTATAAATAGCAGCCCTCTCATTTATTTCTGGGTTGTTGAATCTCCAACTTTGAGACTATCTCTTTACTTTCTCTCTCTAGACTTGTAATAAACCCTTGTAAGAAATGTAAGGATATCACAAGTGCCGACCTCGTACGAGAGGCTGACCTAGTGATCTGATAATAAAATCGTAATTAAACCGCGTCTCTTTGTCATTTTCTCATCCTATATTTCTTTTACATGTTTCTTTTACTGTTGACCGGAAACGCCCGTCAACAAAGTGATTTTGAGTGATTTTTGGAAGTGAAAAGTGGAGAAAAGATGAATTCGATGTGCGGTTCCGCAAGATCGAACAATTGACACCAAATAACTTATGGTGCCCTCCTTCTAGCGCCAAAATGTTGACGGGCGTTTCCGGTCAATGGTTAAAGATATGAATGATGAAAAGGTAAGACTAGAAAAACACAAAGAGATATGGTTTAATTACGATTTTATTAGCAGATCACTGGGTCGGCCTCTCGTACAAGGTCGGCACTTGTGATATCCTTACAAATTCTTACAGGGATTTCTTACAAGTTTAGAGAGAGAGAGAGAGTGTTAGTTGAGAATTCAACAACCCAGAAATAAATGAGGTGGACTGCTATTTATAGTGTCCTTATATGTGGCACTGTTCATGTACTGTTCACGGGTCTTGTCGTATAGTGTTCTTGCAGAGTAGTTCGGCGCCTCCCTGACAGATATTCAATGCGATTTGAAATTTTCTTAATCATTACCTATCAGGCATTTAATGCACACATGGGGAGCATTTAATGCTGGCAGGCTTTATGTCTTGGCTAGTGGATGTAGACCGGCAGGCTACGACGCCTTGTCCAATCACCAACGATTACTCTCCAAGTGGCGTTATTATATTAATATCGAGCTCTGCACCTGTCTCTGGGGCAACCACCTTGGAGCCTCAGGTCGCTCCCGAGCTCATTCTATTCTTCTGGCCCTCTGGAGTCTTACTTCAGCCCGCCGCCTATTTGAGGTCGGCACCGGTACTTGGATGGCATGAATGTCGGGCTCGAGAATAGACCCACAGAGGTATGATGGTCAATTTAATTTGGGACTCAGCTCGACACTTGCACACTCGACCGGGTCTCGGGTTCGTCGTTTGGAGTTGCCTTATGTCCGATTTCCCTTTGAGACAAACTCGGATGTCAACAATAATAGCTCGGTAATCGGTTTGAAGCTCCTTTCGATGTCCAATGCAAGACTAATTTAATCCCCTTTTAATTTGACCCCACAATATATTTGGTCCAATTGAAAGACTCTAAGCCCAAAAATTCTTGTAAAGGCCCAACACTCACAAAGGCCCAAACCTTCTTTTTTCTTTTCCTGTTTCTATTTTACTTTTCCGTTTTCTTTTTCCTCTTTCTTTATCCTCTTCCCCATCACATTCTTTCTTCTTCCTTTCTATAGATCCCCAGTTCTTTTTCTTCATCCTTTTCTCTTCTTTCTCTCTGCCACTCCTTCTTCTTCAATCGAAAATAGCAAAACTCAAATTATCTCAGCACTAAATTTCTGAAATCTCCTCCTCTTCCTCACACATCCGATTTAGCTTCCGACTACAGGGGTCGGTGTCGTTCACCGAGGCTATGAGCGGCGGCGCGATTTGCGAGGCCTCAGCGGCTGACGGGCGGCGATTCGGATGCCGAGGCAGCGAGAGGATGGGGTGGCGATCAGTCTCTTACAGGGGATAGCAGCTTTCCTAGATGGGACGCGGCTAAGACTTGGGGTGGCTACATGCGTGCGGTGGTCTCAAGGAAGGCAGCGGCTCTCCAACGGCTGTCGTGGAGTTGCTGGGGAGGTTCGACTCGATTGGCTTAAGATGTTCTGGACTGTTATTGGTAGGCGTGAACGGACTGACGGCTCAATTCCCAAGGCGACGACTCGAGGTATTGACGGTCGAGAGGCCAGAGTCTGAAGCGATCCACGATCGACGGGGTTCTGTTGGGCTCTGGCGGCGAACGGTCGGGGCGCGACTGAGGCTTGTGATGGCTCGAACGGCTCCCGATACTTTCCTCAATACCTTCACGAGAGAAATTTTGAACGTTTTCACATATCTCTCGACCTTATCCTTCATCAACAACCTCTCTCGAAAATGGGCAACGACGACGAACAATTTACCGTAGACGAGAAAATGGATAAACCAACTTATCGAATTAATTAGACGGAGTTAACCAATTAATCAAAATATCTTAAATGCTCAACATTCAGGAACAATACAGGTAGACGATGATGCCTACGAAATCGATCGACATGACGGATCATCAAGACGAGGATTTCTTAAAATAATCAGCATTTAGACATGTAGGCATTCGATAAATAATAATCAATAATAATAAAAATAAATAATAATAATTATAATAAATCCCAAAATTATTCATAAATAAACGGGGCGCTGCAGTTGAAGAGTATGAGTGGGATTTTACCCGCATGAGCGCCTTTGCTTCAACACTGGTGGACACCAAGGTTAAGAAGGCCAATCAGTTCCATGATGGACTTTGCCCAGATCTCTGCATGCACCTTACTAGCTAGGGAAACCTTCCCTATGGTGAAACTGTTATCCGTGCCCAGCAGCTAGAGGACTATCAGACACTCTGTAACATCCCTCTCAGTTATTAAGAAAGTAACAGTTTCAGTTCCAAGATTTAGGTAATTTCGAGGCTAAGATATTCAGTTATTAGTTCGAAATTAAGAGTTGATCAAGGAACTAGCCACACGAGTCGTGTGAAGAGCCACACGAGTCGTGTGAAGCCACACGAGTCGTGTGAGAAGGCACACGAGTCGTGTGGGAGGATGAGGAGTTGAAAGTTAGCTTCGGCTTTTTCACACGAGTCGTGTGACATAGCCACACGAGTCGTGTGGTGCCACACGAGTCGTGTGACATGCCACACGAATCGTGTTGCCGACAGTCATGTTTGATCATTGAGAATCCGATTGTGATCCCAACCAAAGGCCATTTTTGATGATAAAATATGTTGTGATGAGTACACAAGTTAATCATAAAATAGTTTATGATTAAATTAAGTTAATAAGTTTAATTTGTTTATTATGATCATTTCTTCACTCCAATGTGATGTCTTGCCAATTTATGCCTATAAATAGAGGCCTAAATTCAGAGTTTGTACACCAAAGTAAAGTACCAAAAGTTATATAAGAATGTAAGAGAGATAAGTGGTAGAAACTTTGGAGAAGTGAAGAATTTGAAGTAAAGAATAAAGTTTTTACTGTAGCAAGAAGGAGATACAGTACCAGTATAGCACTTATCGTTTTTCAAATGATTTCAAAGACAAAAAGGTGGGGACCCTGAATGGGTATCACATTGAGTACGATATTGATGTCATATGGGATGAGGAGACCATCAGTTGTCTCAGAGTATATCCTATGGGATGAGGAGACCATCAGTTGTCTCAGAGTATATCCTAAAGTTTAAGATTATTACGCTTAGGATGAGGAGGCATTAATTTGTTCTCAGAGATTATATCCTAAGTTCTGATGGAGGCCGCCTGAGTTGCCTTAGAAATATCCATCAGAGTGTGCACACGTATCCGATTAACTATCGGCAAGATAAGAGAAAAGTTTAAGTTACCGATCAGATATGGGTTTATGATTATCCATATTCGTTACTCACCCCCATGAGTTTTAGTTTCAGGTAACAGGTCGAAGAGGAGGTGTGAGTGGAGCAGTGTTGGTGTGGATCGTGGACTCAGATGAAGACAAGCTTTGATAAGGACTTTTATAACAGTCTATATAATTAACCACGTTTTCAAGTATTTCCGCTATGCACATTAAGTATTGAACTTGCATTTTAATGAATTTTAGATACAAGTTTTTACCATTATGAGAAATATGATTATGGTATTTTAAATGCAAGTTTAAAGGAAATATGTTTTAATTATGTTTAAAGAAGTATTAGACAAAAGTTTAAAGATAAACGGATTTTCAAGAAGAGGAGTTTGAGTAGCATCCCGAGTTAGTCGCAAAGATTTCGGAAGAGTTAAAGTATTTTCGAAGTAAAAGTTGCAAAAAATTTACTCTGATAAGCGGGGTGTTACAGGTGGTATCAGAGCTACAGTTTTAAATGCTCTGTATACTAAAAGTTTAAGTTTCTGGAAGAGAAAGTTTTCAGAGAAGTCAAAGTTTTTACAGGAAGTTTCAAGAAAACCCGACCACACCTCGCTCACACCTCGTCAACTACCAGGTAAGTGCTGTTAAAAGTTTTATACAAGTTCTTCAATATATTCAAATTTACTAAGTCGATGCTCAATAAGAGTTCAGATATACTAACTCTAGAAATTTGTTTAGATGTTCAAGTATTAAAATTTGAAATCTAGTTTATCAAGTTAACTAGATCAAGAAAAGAACTCGAACATTCTAAGTTAAGCCATAAGAATAAGATTTAAGTTAAGATATGATTATAAAGATTGACGACGTATTTGAGCCAAGTATAAGAAGTAACGGTATTTCAGTATATAATAGCCAAAAAGTACGGGGAAGATCATGGGGGTTTGAAATAAGAACCAAAAGCCGGATCAGATCCTGTAGGCTTGAATACTGAACCGTAAGAAATAAAGTTTTCAGAAAAGAGTCAGTTTTTATAATCAGAAGTTTTGATATCTTATTAGTTAGATATCATGATTTAAAAAGTGGCAAAGTTCGAGATAAAGTTATAAGTTATTTATATTAGTACTTGTAGAATAAGACAAGTCTACAAAGTACTTTTCAGAAATCAATGAGTATAAAGATTAAGGTATCGACATATAATAGTCATGTAGCCGGGAAAATTATGGAAACCTGAAATAAGGGTTATTAAGTCCGAGTTTACCTGGAGACTTGAAATCGAACCTTAAAAGATATCAGTTAATAAGTAACGCATTCTAGATACCGAGATAAGTATTTAAGTTCTCGGAAGAATTTTTGAAGTTAAGCAAGAGTAATCTGGATATGTGAAAGTTAAATAAGTAAAGACTAATATGTTTTTATCTTGGAGAAAGTATTTGTCTCCAAAGATAAATGATGAGTTTAAAGCCATAAGTAAGAAATGGCGAGAAGAAGCAAGAAAAAGATAGATTAACCGGAACTCTAGCACAAGCTAGGTGTTTTCGGAAAATTATTAAATTCCTTAAAGTTTAGTATAGCTATTTATTAATGGTTATACTGTTTAAGTTGAATGGTTGGTGGTTTTAAAAATGCCGCAAGGCAAAGTTTCAAGACCACAACTGAGTAAAGTTTAAAAAGCATAGAATCTTGACTGAATCAAGAAGTTATCTCAGTCCCGAAACAAGTATTATTGATATGTGAATCTAGCATATATCAGAAGAAGAAGAAGAAGATTTTTTTGAGAAATCAATATACTGGAAACATAGAAATTCTAGTATCATTGAAAGCTGAGAGTTATACAAAGATTCAAGCACACTGTTGAGAACTCCATTATTTTTAAGAAGCTAGTACAGAAATATCAGAAAAAGGAGATACAGATAAGCATAAAGGAATTCTCAACTAGTACAAAGTTATATTGCATAAAGGGAGGGTGCGTCTCAAGAGCACAAAACTCCATAACTCTGCCACCCATCATGGCTGTAGTTTCATAAAGATAGATCTAAAGGATCAAATGCTCGCTTGCGTTTGAATCCTGGAGTTTCCACAGAATCTTGAACTGTTGAGATGCTGTTTTGAAGCTTCTTGATAAGTTCAGAGGAGGTGTCAGCAGACTTGAATATTTCTCTTTGAAAAGGAGATATAAAAGTTTGATACACTCCTTCATCTAGAAATCCAAGCAAGTGGTGGAAAAAGTTATTGAAATTTAACAGACTAATAGGTTTGGTATGAAATTTCATTTCTGCCCAAGTAGCAAGGGTAAAAGTAGTCATTAAAGTTGCATATCCACCAGGAAGAACGATGAAAGCATCACAACTAGATATCATCGACATCAAACAGTCATAGATTGAAAGAGTTATCATCAAAGTAGCAGAATCTTTGACAACCTTTGATGAAGTGAGATAAAAAGGAAGGATACTTCTCACCTGGATATCAAAGCATTTAGCAGCCATTAAGAGGTTGTTAAAGAAGTAAATACTAGTTCCTCATAAAATATGTTGATGTTATGTTTTCCCAACTCTTTCACCAGTTGGCTTACAACATAGATGTTGTGAGAAACATTTACAAATTTAGAACCACCCAGAATGCACACAGTTCTGAGGGGCTGAAGAAGTTTGGAACCTTGAGAAGACTCGGCAGTAGACATTTATTATGAGAGATAATTGGCTAAGAAGATAGATTTGCCTTTTAAAGAAGAAAAGTCCCGACAAGAAAGCAGTGGAGTCTTAAATGACTCTTATCTGTCAGAAGCGATAAGATTTATATACAGTACAGCGGTACTATCAAGAACAATGTTGACAAACACGATCATTGGAAATAATATTTTCCTGACTATAGAGTTTTTCTTCATGTTTGAGCAGAAGCCATAAAGACATCAGTTCTCGATGCACATATCCACTAGAATGTGTATCAAGAATCTGCTGAATAGTTTGATCCAGAGATTCCTTACTCAAGCCATTTTTTATGAAAGTTATTTTATCTTCTCGATTATTAGAGACAAAGCCCAAAGAAGTACAGCGAGTGTCACAGTTCCAGCGAGCACATTTATAGCAACCGCCTATTCTTTTTGCTCTACGTTTCTTGTCAAAAGTGCTTTTACCCATACCTGACAGATACTTGTATGCATTGGGATACTCGCCAGACACACGAACTTTTGCTTCAATAAGCCATCTTATATCATTTGGGATATTATTGAGCATGAGTATTCTCAATCTTTCTACTCGAGCTCGATAAATTCTCTTTATGATATTAAGAGGGAGAAAAGAATAGAATTTTTGGATTTTTAGCAGTGCTAAATCCATTGGTGAAATCGGACCATTGCTAAGGAAGATGGAAGGATTACCAAGTTGTTTTGTAAAGAAAGATGAGTATGAGATAAGTTTACGGGTATGATTAAATTATACTGAATGTCAGAAGAT